CACAGTCTGTTGGCTCGGCTTGGTTGAGCACAGTCTGTTGGCTCTCCCTATCCTGGCTGGCAAGCCAGGTTTCGTGCTGCCTAGTTCAAGATATTGTCTCCTAAAGCTAGATTCACTCGCGAGAGCTAAATCCTGCTGCTCTGCGGACCGAATAGTCACGTGATTAGTTTCATCTGGCTCAGCAGCGGAGACGTCGCATGAACATCTGGAGCTATACGCTCGCGGGTTCCTCGCGCATACTCTCGACTCCAATGCGTATGCGGCGCGCTTATGTGGTCATGCAGGCTTCGTGCTGTCAATGAAAACCACCAGTCCACCACCAAAATCGCCAAAACCCACTCGCCCATTCCACTGTTACGCGAAACACATTCGGTTGTTGCCGCAAAACTAAAACATATGAATTTTAAAGCTGGCACCCTGCTTCCTAGCCTCGCTAATTTGACAAACGTTGACAGATTTGTCGCTGAATACTCTTGATCGAGAGCAGACGACCCTTAAATGGAGGAATCGAAATAGCGGCGACGCATTGCCATCCGTGCCGCGAGAGGAGGAGAGCGGATGAGCGAGGACGGCAGGTTTTGATGACGCGCACGTCACGTGATGCGCCGTCCGCTGCGTAAGTTCCTCCTCCGTTCCTTTGTCTGAATCCACCTTAAAGGGGAGAAATTATGTTTTCGGGTCGCGATCCGCATTCCTGCACGTGGGCGAGAGTCGGTCGTTCTCCACACCGCGGTGCGCGTAGATTGAAGGATTGATGTGGTACTTTTTAAAGACGATAGTCTTTCTTGGGGACCTTCGACGCAAAAATTTTGGTCTGTCTTTCTGTACATTCGTCTGTTTGTCCACTATTAACCGCATCGGGTACATAAAACGGCCGACCCCATCCGCAGCGCCCACCAATGTTGCTCGGGGTCGAGCGTTCATGCTCGTGTAATTGTCAAAGAAAGACAAAAGCAATTATTGCGCATGTCTGGGGTCCCATAACAACACGTATAAGTCCTGCATGTGCGTATTTTACTAGAAAATGCATACAAAAGTAATTTTAAAGATCATAGTGCTTATCACGCTGCACTAACCGTGCGACGCTTGCACGGAAAGGCGAGTGTTTCCAACTCTTTGCTAAGACGAGACGGTAGGGGCACCTATACCGTCGCTTTGCCTTCTACACCTTATCACCTCTGAGATAAGCGCGCACACCCGTCTCAGAGCCACGCGCTTTGTTTTCTAAAAAAAAAAAAACTGCCAGATGGCGCTCATGTCTCGCGTGTGACGTCACTTGATGCGCTCGTTCGCCTCCGCTGCACGCTCGAGGCATTCTAACGCAGCGCCTCCGGAATACCATTCACCGATTTTCTTGCGCAGAACATCAAACAAATGTCTTGTTTACTCTCTCCACGTACAAGACTATCGTCTTTCGACGACATTTGCACATTAAATGCAGATACGAGGCCAATTTGTTTTTTTTTTTTGTAAGTGAGAAGACGTCCACGACGACACGGGCGACACGAGCGGCTGAGGGGACGTGTTTGGGGTTCGTACTGGAGGCAAATCTATGCACCTGTTATCCGGTGAGATCCGAGTGTGTGCAGAAACGTTTCTGTGCACGGGAATCACAGCTATTAAACAGTGCATTCCGTTCTGCTATATGCAGTGTCACACTTCACAGAAAAGCAACTGGTTCTTGAATTGCCGAGTACAATCTCTTCAAGGTTCTTCGCGAAATAGCCGTCGATGCGGATGTAGCCAGCAGTGAAGTGACGCGAAAAAAAAAAGCAAAATAAATTTCCAGCGTATTTAGGCTTGTATCGATAGTGTTACAACACACATAAAAGAAAAGAATGAAATGGTCACCGAGCTTGTGCTGTGCTCTTTCACCACTTAGAAAATACACCGATGATGGACACGCAGTCGATAACAGGCTGCGTGGTGCGGTGTACTGAGAAAGGCAACCGCGTTGCAACAGCACGACCAGTCGTATACCAGTCTCGCAAAAGAGGAGAGACAGACGCGGCGGTTTGAGAACTCATGTACGCGGCATATGCGGGGAGACACGCGAGACAGCCGATGCTGCTGTAACGGGAGCAGTGTGGCGGCTGGCTGCGTGGGCTTGGCGGCCCGCCGGTTTTCCAGTCGTCGGGCGGATCGAGTTGCCTCTAAGGATCGGCGGCAAAAGCGTCGCGTACGCACCAGCAGCGATTCCCCGCGCACAACCTCTGGCGGGAAAGGCGGCGCCTCGTTTCGTTCCCTCCGTGGTGACATGTTGCGAAATCAAGATGGGGTATGCGTAAATAACCTAATGACAACAGCGTTCTGGAACAGTTTATAATTCATCACTACAGTGCACACACAAAAAAAGGAATGTCACTGACGAATACGATACTACTTTATGCAAATTCTTAGCGCAAGTTCGTGTTGCAAGCAAAGCCGACTGTGTTCGAAGTTTTGGCTTTTCGCAAGGTATCGACTACGCCATCAATCATAATTTTTGTGAAGTAGGACAGCACCCACTGCTACGCCAGTACTCGTCTTTCCGCGGAGATATCCGCTACCCATCTGTTACGTGCACGCCCGTGTCAGAGCCACGCGCTTCGTTTTCCAAAAAAAAGCTGCCAGATCGCGCTCGTCTCACGTGTGACATGACTTTATGTGCTCGTTCGTCTCCGCTGCACGCTCGAGGCACTCTAAATTATTGCGCGCACTTCGTTGATGCTGCATGTGACTCATAAGGATGAAAAATTATGACTGAACACTTTGCTGCGAGTGGGAAGCACTAAACGACATGCTCGTTGCGCTGTTAGTGTTGAGTGATAACTGTTATCTTACTCTTCTGCCACGTTGTATTACAGGGTTAACGCGATTCTTTGCCAGACGTGACAACTGTATATGATATTTTTCGCAAGCGGGTTTCAAGCACCAGCGTATAGCTCTTTGGTAGAATACCCGACTGCCCCGCAGAGGTCCCCGTTTCGCATTGCATTCGGTCTTGGGTATTTCTTCGTCGTTTTATTTTTTTCTTGTTCACGGCGATAGTGACGGCGCTCGACGCAGGAACAAAATTTGCGCTTAAAAAAAAAAAAACGAGAGCATCAGAGAAGACACGCCCACTGGGTGTCTCTCCTCAGGTGTCTTCTCCATGTGACACAACCATGTTGATTGATTGATATGTGGGGTTTAACGCCCCAAAAACACCATATGAATATGAGAGACGCCGTAATACGTGGACGGCTCCGGAAATTTCGACCACCTGGGGTTCTTTAATGTGCGCCCTAATCTGAGCACACGGACCTACAGCATTTTCGCCTCCACCGATAATGCAGCCACCGCAGCTGGGATTTAATCCCGCGACCTGCTGGTCAGCAGCCGAGTACCTTAGCTGCTAGACCACCGCGCTGTGGTGGCACAACCATGTTAAAGTTACAGAATGCCAAGATAGAAAGTTACAGAAAGGAATTAAACCCCAGGGTCATCCGGCGTGGTTTCCATTATAGTGTACTGGTGTGGTGTGGCAGTTTCGTGACATGAAACTGCAATCGAAAATCTCTTGTTTATAGGGGCAAAGACCCTCTGAACACTGGTATTTTCCGCGGCCGCATATACTGTGATTGTCAAATATTTCATACGGTGATTGTCGAATAATTTCAACAATTCCGCAGTTCTGTAATGAAAATGCTCAATAAAATTGAAACTGAAACATTACCCACGAAAATGTGCGTGCTGTCTCCAACATTGTTTTCGAAAATGTTTCATTAAATATGTCCGTAGAAGTATTCCTTAACTCAACTTAGTTTTACAGGTCAAGGTGTCCTGGCCAGCTATAAATTGGAGTGTATATATCGTCGTAGAGGCAGTACGTTTTACCTTAGTGAACACATGCTTAAAAAAGAAATTATGATTCAAAATGTCGTTAACTCAAAGCCTAATGCTTAAAGCACTAGTAAAAGTTTGATGCGACTTTTTTGCTCAATGTTTCCATTGGTGAAAGGCTGACGAGGCTAATCTGGCGCCCGGTGACCTGAATATTGAGGCCACTGCGCGAGCGGCTTTGTGCGCATGGTTCTGCCTTCAAAGCACATTCATGACATAGTCTTCGTCTGTGCATGGTTCTGCCTCCAAAACACATTCATGACATAGTCTTCGTCTGTGCATGGTTCTGCCTTCAAAACACATTCATGACATAGTCTTCGTCTGTGCATGGTTCTGCCTCCAAAACACATTCATGACATAGTCTTCGTCTGTGCATGGTTCTGCCTTCAAAACACATTCATGACATAGTCTTCCTCTGTGCATGGTTCTGCTTCCAAAACACATTCATGACATAGTCTTCGTCTGTGCATGGTTCTGCCTTCAAAACACATTCATGACATAGTCTTCGTCTGTGCATGGTTCTGCCTCCAAAACACATTCATGACAGTCTTCGTCTGTGCATGGTTCTGACTCCAAAACACATTCATGACATAGTCTTCGTCTGTGCATGGTTCTGCCTTCAAAACACATGCATGACATAGTCTTCGTCTATGCATGGTTCTGCCTCCAAAACACATTCATGACATAGTCTTCGTCTGTGCATGGTTCTGACTCCAAAACACATTCATGACATAGCCTTCGTCTGTTCATGGTTCTGACTCCAAAACACATTCATGACATAGTCTTCGTCTGTGCATGGTTCTGCCTTCAAAACACATGCATGACATAGTCTTCGTCTGTGCATGGTTCTGACTCCAAAACACATTCATGACATAGTCTTCGTCTGTGCATGGTTCTGCTTTCAAAACACATGCATGACATAGTCTTCGCCTGTGCATGGTTCTGCCTTCAAAACACATTCATGACATAGTCTTCGTCTGTGCAAGGCACGAAAAATGTCGATGAAACGATAATTGGTGACTCAAAGATGGGCACCTTCTCGCGTTACAACTACACGTGTAACATATTGTGTAGTTGTAACACGAAAAGTTCGCACGCCGCTTGAAATATGCATCTTGTTTTTTTTCTGTTCGCAGCTCTTTTTTATATTCCCGAAGAGTCGGCTACGCGACACCGTTGCACCGGGACCAAGATGACAATAAAGGAGAATTTGATAACCATGGTGAAGTACGCCTCGCCCAACCTGCGGCTAGTCCCTCTCAAGATGCACATGTTTCTGTACTTCGGATGTGAGTAGCCACTCGGATAAATTTTTTTCGTAGTGTCATTGTCAGGTAAAAAAAAAAGCCTGACCTTACAGTGTCTTTTTGGATGCTATTGCGTGCTAGATATGACGATTTTGTAAGGTCGATTTTCAAGACGTGACCTTCTTGAAGGCTAACTGGTCCCTCATAATAGTCGGGCGCTGTGTTATAGTGGTTGCGCTGCTCGGCTGTTGACTCGAAAGTCGTGAGTTTGATCCTGGCCGTGGTGGTTGCCTTTCGATAGTTGAAAATCGGAGAGCTTCGTAGGAGTCGCTATGCCGTTGTGATCACAGTGGACAATTGGGGCAAATTGGTGATTCGTGATTACATATAGCCGTCAAGGCGAAAAAAAACCTCTGGATATACAGGGTCCACTATTCAGACACCTGATACCACGAGTCCGTACAACTCTCCCCGCCTTCCAGCCCCTGCTTCTTTTATGGTTACTCCAGTGGCAATGCCCGGTTCACTGTACTCCCGGATCGAAGTATTTTACCGCCACCACATGCGCACTTTTGTAAACTAAACGAGGACACTCTGAGAAGGCTACGAGTAATTTCCATCACTCAAATTACACCTGTGGTGTTTCTTGAATTAGCATTGACAATATCTTCCATGCTGAGATATCCTCGGAAATAATCACGGAATATAAGCATTACACCTTCACACCTTGACAGGGTAGGACCCGTCCGCTGATCAGTCGTATCTTGGCCGTGGAGGAAACCAGAGGGACCAGGCTGCCGTCCCATTCAATTCGCAATGTTGCCATTCATACTGAAATGCTTCCGACCGAACGGCGATTGCTTTGTGACTTTTGATAGTTAATTACTGATGTAAATAGCGACACTGTCTCTTTTTTTACCTGAACTGTGAATCAGATTGTATCAGGATTACAAAAAAAAAAATGCGTTCGCCACTAATATATTTGTGCAACGTGGATGACTCCAGTTACAAAAGCCTTACACGCTATACGCAGTTTATTGTAATTTGTTTTCGTTCTCTTTGGCTGCTCCAGATTTGGGAGAAATATACTGTCGGAAGCCACGCGTAACAGGATCTATAAATACTATATCGTATACACCCTGAGAGGGTGTATACGATATAGTATTTATAGATCCCGTTAAAATGACTGTGACTTGTATCTCGATTTGAATGACCATTGCACATATCTTAGGGATGTCTCCATGGCACAATATGACACCCTTGCAAAGATAATGTTCTCCAGCATAGAGAGCAGTGCGGTGCCAAGACATACATTCGCGGAAGCACGTGCCTTGTAGATACCTTCAACTGTACTAAAGAAGACGGTCACATATGGAGTGGCAGAGCAAACCGATGTAAGGATAATAGCACGGACTCGACGACGATGAATAAAAACCATTACTTAAGCTTCCTGCTTGTAACATTCGCGCAACACCCTCACTTTCTTCTTGTCGCAGCAATCAGGCTTGCATTCGAATAAATTTGTCGGAACGCCGCAATATAAATGGTGATAGCTTCATTCAGATATAATCCTTTAAACTGGAATGGAATCCCAGACTTACACGTGTAGCGTTCTTGTCAATGGTCTAAGTATAGGAAACTAAAGCTATTCTATTTCACTACAGGCGTAAGGAACCATTAAGAATACTGAATATGACGCGAAGCCACGATAACTAAAAGACCTTGGTTTTTAATATTGCGAGCTCACGTGACTTTATAGCGAGTTGACGTCTTCAGTAACGTATTTTCCCACGCACAGTAAAATGTGTCCCGATGTACACTGTCCATATTGTACCAGCTTATGGGTGATGTCGAGGTGCTTTACCTTGCAGCTGTGGTGGGCGTGATGCCCTTCACGACAGTGCTGGCCAAGCAGCTGGGCATATCCGCTGCACTGGCCGGGCTGGTCAACACAACCTTGCTGTTTCTGTCTATTCTCATGCGGTTCGCCATCGGCTCGCTCACGGACAAGGTGCAGCAGCTCAAGGTCGTCCTCATCGCCGTCATCAGCGTGGAGAGCTTCTTCCACTTCCTTCTCATATTCGTGCCGCCCATCAAGCCGATCACGGTCGATATCGGCGTCCCAGCGCCCGAGAGCGTCTTACAGAACGACACCAGGCTCCTCTGTTTCTCCCGCACGTACATCGACGACTGCCAGTCTCACAGCCCCGAGCCGTGCCGCATGCGCTGTCGTTACTCGGCGAACGAGAGCAGCGTAAAGCAAGACATCGCGTTTCCCTTCAACTGCAGCCTCATGTGCCACCAGAAGCAGTGGTGCCTTACCGCGGAGGAGCTGGCCGGCGACGGTTCGGCCTTTCTGGAGGCCACCGACAAGATGTGCACGGTCAGCTGTCATTCAGCCGCGCAGCCGAACACGATGAGCACGCTCACCTTCTGGCTGTTCGCCATCTTCCGCGTGCTGGGCGGCACCGCGTTCGGCGTGGGAATCTCGCTCGCCGACGCCGCGGCGTACGCCATGCTGCGCGACCGCAAGGAGGACTACGGCAAGCAGCGGCTCTGGGGAACCATCGGCTGGGGCGCGCTAGCGCCTCTCATCGGCTACCTCAACGAAGTAGCCACCGGCGGCTCGCCCTACATTGACTACAGCCCCGGCTTCTACATGCTAACTGCGTTCACCGTAATGGATCTGGCCAGCCTGTGCTTCCTAGACGTGCCCCGCTCTGCGACGTCCAAACAACTGCTCAAAGACCTGAGCGAGGTGCTGGTGAACCCGCGCGCGCTCTTCTTCACCTTCTCGGTGCTCAACATGGGCTTTCTCATGGGCTTCGTCTGGAGCTACGGGCTGTGGTACCTCCAGGACTTGGGCGCCTCGCCCACCCTGCTGGGTGCCAACCTGGCGGTGCAGTGCTTCGGCGGCGAGGTTCCCGTGCTCTTCTTCTCGGGCTGCATCATCAAGCGCATCGGATACGGCAACGCGGTCAGCCTGTCCATCGCTGGCCTCAGCCTGCGACTGGCCGTGTACAGCTTCGGCACCGACCCTTGGACCATGTTGCCCATCGAGGTGACGCATGGCCTGTGCTTTCGGCCTCTTCTACGCCGCCATGACCTCGTACGCGAGCTCCGCGGCGCCGCCCGGCACTGAGGCCACCATGCAGGGTATCCTGGGAGGCACCTTCGAAGGGCTTGGTGAGTTGTGGCGACATGATGCCATTCCACGCGTCACAGAAAGATATTGGGCATACAGCCACCACAGATACAACCGACGAGATGATGGTCAACACACACACCCGCTTTTCTTTACTGGTGTATAGCTGAGCGTGCCTAAATGTTGTCTGGAATGAACTAGTCTATAAACCAGTTCAAGTTTCTGTCGTTACACATTGCAGGCTTATTAAATGATAAGTAAGACCCGTCTTGGTTATCGTATTGGTTATGCTATTGGTTATGGAACTGAACAGCTGAATTGAAGGCCATGGGATAGCATCCCGGCCGCGGTCACCGCATTTTGCAAAGCGACGAGATGCTCATATGCGTAGATTCAGGCGCGTGTTAAAGAAGTCCAGGTAGCCTAAATTCCCAGAGCCCCGCGCTTCTCTCAAAATCATATCGTGGTTTTAGGACGTAAAACGCCAGCAATCCTGATAGTTTGTTGGACTTGTAATGACAAGTTCTTTTCCACTCTTCAATATTCCAGCTCTGTACTTGTTGGTATTGCAGCCGCAGAGAATAATCGTCGGTCGTGAATGATTTAATAGACCTTGTGAGGTCATTTTAGTAAGTAGGTAGTGATCGGCAGCATTACCGAATCCGAGCTGAAGTTACATGCCATCCCTCGTTTTATTTATCTGACATTAGGAATAGCCAGCGGTACACTTGTTGCTGGCCAACTCTACACCGAGGTGGGCGGCCGGCAGACCTGTTACATCTATTTCATCTACAGTATCATCTTCCTGGCATTACACGTTGCGGTCGAGATGATCTTCTCCACCAGGGAGTCAAAACGTGGTAAGTGCAGCACATGACGATGTCGAAGCTTGCCTTGCTTCTTAAGAGGCTTGTTGGTGAAACAGTGCAAAGGCGTGTGCGCGAATCGGACGTGCACACAGCGCAGGACATGCGACGAGCGCCCCCACCAGCCGTTTCAGTTCGGGCGTCAAGCTGTCGCTCATATACAGCACACATACCAAGACATGCGCAGAACCACAGCTGGGTGTGGAAACGAGAATCACACACGATTTTCAATTTCATGTGACCAGTATAACAAAGCGTTTCTGAAACGAGTTTCGATTTGGTGTGACCAGTATAGCTATGAAATATTAATAATATTCTGAAATATTAAAAATTGAAGACGAGCCGCTATTCTAATTGTCCCCAAATATATTGATGTGGTAGATCCCCAAAGTTTTCCTCATAGTAAGGTTCTCATTTATTTCTATAGTTTTGATATACGAAAAGCGGGAAAGGGGAAGTGCGTAGCTTCTTTATTTGTGTCAGAGAATGCAATTTCCCGTGCTGAGTCGTTCATCCATCGGCCTGTTTTTCGTACATGGGACTTGCACAAGACATGTACTCGCTATGCCAACCGATTTTCAGGTGTTGTCCTTTCCACTGCAATTTTCTTTACCTCGTCTATATGTAGCGGGAAAAGATTCGCAGTTGGAATTACGCTTTCCGAGCAATGGAAGAACTAGCGATTCCGCGCCCACGTACCGGAAACGAACGTGACTTCGGGACTCCATCAATTTATCGGATGCATCGGTTTCGCTAAAGAGCTAGGCAAGACACATTCTTCGCGTAACCCGAGCCGCCGCTTTTAATTTGAAGCCTACTGTTGTGATGTTTGTGTTGGAGCTTGTGGCTCGTCGAACGCGGGTATCTTCCGGGAATGAAAAAGGAGATGCACCTGGTGTGATGGCTGCTCCTGGAATCAGTTTACGGGTAACAATATCCTTCAAATTTTTAAACATACCAGCTGTAACTACCAAACCTTTCCGTCGTTGAGAAATGCTAATCAACTCTTCAAATGGACCGTTAACTTTTCTGGTGAAATATTTACAACACATGAACTGTTTGGTGAATTCGAATTTCGTGTATGATTGGGAGCTTATTTCAAGAGCTTTCTATTTTGCCTAAACGAATTCCCCATCATATTGTGCGGTCATGTTCGGGCAGGTTAGACGAAGCAGCATCATGTCCGGTATATTTACGCTTACGTCTTTTGTAGGGCTGCCCAAATACCGCCTTGAATCGGTTCGTATATCGATTACGAGGACGCGCCTTGACTTAAGCCGTAACAAAACGTAACCAGTCGTTACTTTAGTTGGGCTGGTGCAGCGTCAGCCGGTAGAAAGCTAGCAACGCGGATTATACAGGAGATGGATGTAGTTGTTTCAGTTAACGGCAATTGACGCTAGTCCCAGGTCGCAAGCCAGGTGGCGTGACCTTTCGAGCAGGTGACCAGCTGTTCCGCTAAAGTAGCTTAAAGTGTTCACCAAAAAGAGATAGGCCGTTGAAAACTAGTGAGTGTAAGCCGGTGTTGTGACGTAAGCAAGATATGCAGAGATAAGTCAGTGAGCTCACAAGGTAGGATACACGGTCACAGCGAAGTCTTTTCTGAGTCGGTGGAAACAGACTGAATATGCTAATAATGATCATGCTTCTTCGTCGATATGCTCTATACTCACCTAGTCTGTTGCGTCACATGTATCTTATGCAAGGACCAACGTTCTCAACTATCTAGTGTTTTAGTTTTGCAATTGGTTTATAGGTGGTTTCTTTGAGCTGCGCTTGTGTTTTTGTTGCCTCTACGCCACCACACACACGGAAATCAACTTTTCATTTTTTTTGTATTGCACAATGCGCTTAAATATTGTGATCCAACAGATTGTACGGGTTTTCAAGATCTTTTTCTCGGCCTGCGGGGGTGAACACTTACAACATTTTTTACCCACTTCGCTTACACGCTCATTCGCAGAATCCGTGTTGAGTGGCTCTCGGCAATCGCAGCCGCTACCGGAAGCGGATCCCGTGTTGACGATCAAAGGTCGGCAGCCGGACGGCACCCGCAGAAATAGAGACGAAGATGACGAGGTCGTTTGAACGGCTCGCCTCTGAACACAGTGTTGTTGGTCCCGTACTCCCGGCCACGGACCTGTTACCTGGGCGTCACCCTATTAGGACGCCTGTGCGAGAAGGCTGTTCTCGCCTTCTGAAGGCACCTTCTCGACCACGAATGCAGGGCGCGCCACCTCTGCGAGGCAGTGCGCCGCGCGCGATCCTTATTTTGACGCTTATAGACGGCAAAATGTCGTTGGCGGCTGTTTTATAAGCCTGTATTTTTTGTTGTTGTTGTGCGTCGTTTCGTATTTTAAGTGCAAGTTTCAATATGAAGCGCATGATCTCTTCTAAGTATGAATTGGTGTAGCCGCGTTGATGGTAGACAGCTGAATTTGTTCGCCGGCTTTGTTTGAGTGCAGAAGACGCGAGACGAGCCATACGAAAGACGATGTTATCTGATTAGGGCAAGTATCGTCCAACCGAGGATCGATAAACGAGACTTAAACGTTGTCCTTCGTACATACTATGTTGGCACCTATTATTCGGATCTGATTGTCGCTAATTGAAGAGCTTAGCTATAGAAACGGGCTGAATTTACTGTAATAAGGCAATGCTTGTCATCGCCAACGCACCATGTAAAATTACTCGAATGCTTTGCCAGCTTCACGGGAACTAAGCGAGAAGAGTGATTATAGTTGTGTAGATCGCGTGATGTCTTGAGAAGAGTGATCACGAACGATTAAGCACCTTAGATAATGAATTTTATGGTTTCTACCTCTAACTGTTCTTAATTTTTACTGTTTCTTACACCAGTAACTATTATATAGTTTTCGCTGCTCTAGTTCATAGAACGCATTTAGCAAATTCATGTACCTGCGATTAACAGTGTAAATACTACACGCAGAAGCAAAGTATACAGCGGATTATCTGTGATCCTTTTGTATCGCGTTGCAGCGTCTGTTTTAGTATCTTAATTGCTGTTTAATGAATGTAGATGCAGCATTTACGATGTGATAAGTGTTTATAGAGGACTTTCATTTTATACAAACTTTCTGCCATTGTGGAAACACAGTAATGAAATATTCGGATGACTCGTCTAATGCACTGTATTCTGATAAATATATAGTAAAATTGCTTTGAACAGAGTCAACTCTTCACGCACTTTTCATGAAGTCGCTGCTTTTTTTGCCATCTCGCGTTGCAAGCATGGCGAAGCTTTAATTTTTTTCTATGGTACGACTGTATTTTCAATATCGCGCTGTACTTCAGCGTCTAGAGTGTAAGCGTTTTTTGTCATTATGAAGTGGCTTCGGTTTGAATTTCTTGCAGCCCTCGAAGAGAAGGGTTGTTTTAATACTCGATCAAATGTCGCACTTCCCTGCATTATGAAATTATTTTCATCTTCACTTCGAGGGTCGCTATGTATTTGTTGTCAGACATGGTCGTAGGGAACGTGTTGCGGACATCGTGAGTGACTGTGCAACAGTGTCTGCTATGGCTGAGAACGCGTGAATTTTTTCAGCCATAATTTGGAACCCGAGTGTGTGCTTAACTAAGTTGTTCTAGGGATGCACGTCTTAGTGGCCATCACCTGTTTTGTACTTGCCATTGCACTCTCGCGTTTGTAAATACAGACAATCTGTCACATTTCAGGCATATCACATCGTGGTCTGTTGTAAAATTGTATCATGCAGCCGAGATGATGTACTCGAGTCCCGTTTGGTTGTGAACCGCTCTCAAACTTTTTGCTGGGTGCAGTCAGGCATGCATTTGATGACACTTTCGTCTCTTCGAGAGCTCGTCAGTGGTGGCTAATAGAAGCCTACTTTATCATTATTTGTGCTTTGGTTTCATTGCTGCGCTTTTCTTACACGTCAGATTTTGACCCTCCTAACCATGCTTCTGTTTGTGCGCGTGCTCTGTTTTTTTTTTTTTTGCGCGTGTTACGACTGGGTGTTGTGATGACGATGGTGTGAGGATATTGTAATATATAGTTCGCACGACAGTGTTTTTGATAGTACATGTAACGACTCGTTTACTTCAATCGCATGAAAGTACAAGTTTAGGTCGCTTCTACTTGGCTTGGCTTGGCTCACGTTTCCAGGTTCGAGCAAGACTGCGATAAACATTTTCTTGCGACTTGCGTTGTGTTCGGCGTTGCTTTTTTTTGTCACTTGCGACACCATTGTTTTCTGAACTAAATGAAAACGAACCGTGTCAGATATGAATGTAGTTTTGCCTTGCACACTTCTGCAGTGATGTGACTGGTTCCAAAAAAAAAAAAAGAGAAAAAAGTGTAGAACCTCAAGCAGTACTTTTTTTCTAAGAGGCATATTTGCACAGCCACATTGTGTTAGCATATTGTACGGTTCCCGAAATCCCTAGAAGACGCGTACAATGGGGATGTAGTACCTTCAGAGGTGTTCCGTGCCCGTTGCTGCCATGCTGGCCTCCATGGAAACCTAACGAGTGCATCTTATTTGGACTACTCGATTCGGGGTTTCGTCTTGAATGAGGCGTGACGACAGAGTGCGGCGAGGGATTCTAGCGTTTCCTTGAGCCGCGATTTTGCCGTTTATTCAATACAAATGCTTACGAATGCTGAGCACACTTGGAAGCGTGGTGGTAGCACAAAGACTGCAGTTCTCGAGGTCGAGGTGCTGTACAAATGTCGTCGAAGATAGCGGCACTGAAGTCTACATAAAGTGCTATTCACGGGAACCTAACTGCACGCACCACTCTGGTTCGCCTTGAAGGTAGCACTTCGAAGCCTCTGCGAAAAAGGCATTGAAGCTTGTGCTGCAGGTGATCATTTTTCTATATAGCGTATACTGTGTATTGCGACCAAATGTGAGGTGTATTAAGTTAGCCTGCTCGGATTCAACTAACATTAGCATGTTGTATAGTGTTCTGAGCAATAAACTGAAACTACAGAGCGAAGTTGTTCCGTTTGCGCGCAGCTCAGGTGCCGCTCTTCCGGGCCGAACCACATCACTACTTTAACAATGCATGTACCATGCGATCCTTTAAGTAGTCGGGACATGCTAATCAGTCTCATTTCTCTATTTTACACTTACCCTCAAAATTTTCTTATGCATCGCGAACTGTCATAATAAAAAGATATATTCTCAGTGGTTCTTTTGCCCGCTTGGTGTGCGTGTCAGCATGCCACGGTGTGTATGTAGGTGGGCGTCTTCGATTATTCGATTCCTGATAGTGCCCGATTGCCCGAGGTGGTACACGGTCAGCCAATGCGCGTTGCGGGCTTATTCTTTCGGGTGGCGCAGCACTTTCGGAGACTTAATACAGGACGCCCAGTGCGCGTGTGCCATTTGCCAGGACAGGTCTTACGAATGTCGTGAGGGTGCATCAATTTTTCAGCCCATTCAATGTGCTGTCAATATGTTCAGGACTTGCTCAATCCACCTCTAGGTGGCGCACTTGTCTGAGTGGTTCAGGGTTGGTGGCAACTAGAAATGGTCGAATGTGGGTCGCATTTTCCCCATAATTATACCTGACAACGTGTGTGGTCTGTGAAGAAAGGTGCGCGTGATCTGCGATTCCGAGATCGCGAGGTCAAGTCAAAGCATTTTCGTGGTATACTGTGCTTGGTTCGAGTGATAGAATGATCCCAAGAGGTGTGGGACCATGCAGACTCTTGTCTTGGTACAATGTATGTAGTACTCTGCTGGGAAGCATGGCGTGGTGCAGCGCGCACTGCCGCGTACAATAGACGTGCCTGTAGTCTAATCTATATACGCAATGTCGGACCACGCTGTACAGGAAATGTGTCGTTGCGAAAGCTGCGTTTTGAAAACTCATGTGGTCACGAAGTCGTGTGGTGAACTTTTTGCCCGAGTGCGTTTGTACACAATAAACTTTCTCTTTTTATAATGTCTGCTTTCTCTTATTTGCCACAAAGCGCAAAGGGCCTAAAGAGGCTCTTCAACTTGAACTTCACATGGCAAGTAGTCCAGTGTGCGTAGCGCTGCGTATCGGAAGATCCAGATGGCGCAGGTGCAGAGCGGCAACCTGCACGCTTCGCGTCCTCTGGAAGTCTAAGCGATGCGACAGACTTTACATGAGACACGCCGTTGTCAACGGCTCCGGAAATTTAGGCCGTCGGGCGCTCTTTAATGTGCGTTCACATCACACAGTATACTCGTGCCTGTAACCTTTTGCCTCGGTTGAAATACTAGGAGAAACGTGCTCAAAAGATCTTCGCGAAGACTGATTTTCGATAATCATTGAAACAAGTTCGAGGTGTGGCTCTGTTTTAAAGCACAGTGCATATGACTTGAGGTGGCGCATAGTGGCAATAGAGCGGGAGAAAGCACTTTCATTTGGCGCTCAAAACTAGCTGTCTTGTCGTGATACGCAGGAAATTGAACCATTATGTCTTCAGCTTTCTCGATCAAATCTCAGTTATAACATTTAATATCACTGGTGTGCTCTACGCGGCACACGTTAACTTTTTTTGAATGCAGTTTTCAGTAGAAACCGCTGTTGAAATGCGTCCGGGTGACAATGCACCTGTCGTGGAACTCCCAAGATATTGTTAACCGACAGAGGTGATCCTTTAATATAGGCTTATATTCTGTGTCACGTAGTTTATTTACGTATGTCACGTAGTTTATTTACGTATAGACCTACTGGAAGGCCAAGAAACGCCAGAAGAGCGAGGAACGTCAACAGGCCGAAAATACAAAACAAGCGCAAGCTCGGGTCGCGCGTGTGCACCAACGCTGTGGCTTGCCGTTTCTTGCTGCTTCGTCGTCGTTCGCATCGTTTCCTACATTGGCCCCCGGTGAATAGCGTAGCCAACCTGTCACTATAGCGGGGTCGTAATACGGCTTCAGGCGACTCACATGCACAATTTCTCGGCCACGACGGCGTAAGTCATGAGACTGTGTCAAAGGCTCAATCTCATAATTGACTGGTGACGTACGGGCGAGAATGCGGTAGGGCCCGTGGTATCGTGGCAGTCATTTCGACGAAAGACCAGGAGTGCTCGGTGGAATACAGAGCCAAACGAGAGCACCAGTCGTGAAAGTAGAGATATGTCGGGTGGTGTCATGCCGTAGCTTCTGGTGGCGTTGGTCCTCGGTTGTCAGTGAACGGGCCAATCGTCTGCAATCTTCTGCGTACCTGGCAACATCAGAAATTGCAGTGTACTCAGAGGAGTCGGGCGTGTATGGGAGGATAGTGTCCAGCGTGCACGATGGTTCGCGTCCGTACAACAGAAAGAAAGGGGAGAACCCTGTTGTCACGTGCGTAGCGGTGTTATACGCATACGTGATGAATGGAAGGACAGTGTCCCAATTGGTCTGGTCTGAAGCTCTGTACATCGTCAACATATCACCGAGAGTGCGATTAAATCGTTCTGTGAGGCCATTCGTCTGCGGGTGATATGCTGTCGTCATGCGATGAACCATGTTGCGCTGAGCGAGCAAGGCTTGAATGGCGTCGGACAAGAAAACACGCCCCCGGTCGCTCAAAAGTTCGCGGGGAGCACCATGGCGAAGAACGCAGTTGCGCAAGATGAAAAACGCAACTTCCCTCGCGGTTGCTGCGGGTAGTGCTGCCGTCTCCACGTAACGCATGAGGTGGTCCACGCCGACAATTATCCACCTAATTCCAGAAGACGACGCGGGAAGTGGTCCATATAAGTCGATACCGACGCGGTCAAATGAACACGCTGGACAAGGCAGAGGCTGAAGTGTACCGGCAGGGCGTTGAGGTTGTGCTTTACGTCGCTGGCATGCAGTACAAGCACGTACGTACTTGCAAACAAATGTGTACATGCCACGCCAGTAGCACCGCTGACGTAGACGGTTGTACGTTTTGAGAGCGCAGGCGTGAGTGCTTTGCGGGTAGTTGTGGAAAGCTGTACAGATTTCCGAGCGCATGTGGTTTGGTATCACTAACAGCCACCTCCGACCTTCAGACGTGTAATTCCGCCGATAGAGGAGGTCGTCTCGAATAGCGAAATGTGTGGCTTGACGGCGGATAGTTCTTGAGACCAAACTAGCTGACGAATCAGTCAGAAAGGCGAAGAGTTGGGAAATCCACACATCTTTGCGTTGTTCCGATGCCATGTCTGTGAAGTCGATTGGTGTTATGACAGCTGAAGAAGGTGACGAGGAGGTTAGGTCAGCCGGTAGCTGTGAGCGGGATAGCGCATCAGCGTCGGAGTGCTTGTGGCCGGATCGGTATACAACACGAATGTCGTATTCCTGTAGGCGATGCGCCCAACGACCAAGGCGCCCCGACGGGTCTTTGAGCGATGATAGCCAGCATAGAGCGTGGTGGTCCGTAACGACTTCGAAAGGGCGGCCATAAAGGTATAGGCGGAACTTCGTCAAAGCCCAGACAATTGCGAGGCACTCTTTCTCCGTGACGGAATAATTACACTCGGCTTTCTTGAGGGTTCGACTCGCGTAGGCGACCACGTATTCTTGGTATCCTGGTTTTCGTTGAGCCAATACAGCACAAAGACCGACACCATTGGCGTCGGTGTGGACCTCCGTAGGCGCATCGGTGTCAAAATGACGGAGTATTGGAGGTGATAATAATAACCGCCGAAGCGCGGTGAAGGATTCGTCGCACTCTTTTGACCAAGCAGAAATGCGTTTGGAAGTTGTCAACAGGTTGGTAAGAGGTGCGATGATGGAAGAGGAAGTTCCGCACAAATCGACGAAAGTATGAACACAGGCCGATGAAACTTTGAAGCGTCTTGATGGAATTGGGCTTCGGATAGTCGGCCATGGCGCGGAGTTTTGCCGGATCCGGGAAAACACCCTCTTTGCAGACGACGTGACCCAGTATAGTGAGCTGACGTGCGGCAAAATGGCACTTCTTGATGTTAGGTTGAAAGCCAGCAGAGGGGAGACACGTGAGAATAGCACGAAGACGAACATGGTTAGTCGAGAAGTCGCGAGAAAAAACGACGATGTCGTCTAGGTAGTAAAGGCACGTGTTCCACTTGTAGCCGCGAAGGATGGTGTCCATCATCTGTTCGAAGGTAGCTGGGGCGTTGAAGAGTCCAAACGGCTTGACATTAAACTCATACAGCCCATCAGGTACAAATGCAGTCTTCGATCGGTCAGGATCAGCCATTGGAACTTGCCAATATCCTGAGCGTAAATCTAAAGAGGAGAGTTATTCTGCTCCTTGCAAGCAATCGAGAACATCGTCGATGCGTGGCAATGGGTACACATCCTTCCGAGTTATCTTATTGAGCCGGCGGTAGTCGACACAGAATCGGATAGACCCATCCTTTTTGCGCACAAGTACAACAAGGGACGACCAAGGGCTCTGCGATGGCTGGATGACACCACGCTTGAGCACATCGTCGACTTGTTCGTAGATAATACGGTGCTCTTCCGCTGAAACTCGATATGGTCGTTGGCGTAAGGGAGCATGAGTACCGGTGTCAATGTGGTGAGTGATGTTCGCTGTGCGACCCAAAGATGGTTGAGCGCAATCGAACGCAGAACGGAACTCTCGAAGAAGGGACAAGAGTTCGCGTCTTTGAGTCGGCGATAGCTCAGCGGCAACAGAGGGCTGAAATGAGTCTGGTGCGGGCAGTGTGGCCACAGGTGGCGTCATAGCATTGAGCTGGAGGTGAGGTGGGTGTTCGGCAAACTACAGAGGCAAGAGGTCAACGTCTTGTATGTTACCCAAACATTCTCCGCGAAGTAGTGTAACTAGCGACGATAGCGATTTCGCAACGAGCATGGCGGTAGCACCGGATTCCACGGTGAGTATGGCAAAGGGCAGGTGTAGGCTACGGCGACGGGTAAATACGTCAGACGGAGTGAACAAAACAGTTCCTACAGGAGCGGCCGTACAGGTCAGGGCTACAAGGGTGGATGTTTTCGGTGCTATTTCCGTGTCTGCAACAACGACAAGTTTGTAAGATTCAGAAAGAGAATCTACAAACAAGAGGCTGACAGTGGTGTGAGGGAAACTTCTGCACGCGAGCAATCTATGATGGCCCAATGATGCGAAAGAAAGTCCCATCCAAGAATGACTTCGTGGGAGCATGATGCCAGCACGAAAAATTCAATGGCATAATGTTCACCTTGGATAATGACACATGCAGTACACACAACTGTAGGTTCTTTGCACTGCGAGTTGGCCATGCGGAGCATCAGGCCCGAAAGAGGCATCGTCACCTTTTTCAACTTGTGGCATAAGGTCGCACAGATTATGGAAACGGCGGCTCCTGTGTCGATAAGCGCTTGTGCGGCGGTGCCCTCAACATTGACGTCGATAACGTTTTGCGGCGAGAAAGATGGAGGCCTTAAGCAGTTCGAATGGTATGCAGCTGTTGCCTCCGGAGCTGGAGCGATCAGTTTCCCTCTTCCGTATCAGGTCGGCGACGCATAGGTTACAGGGAGCGTCGTCGGGGCGATGGTGACCGATGGTTTGCGTAGGGTCGATGGCCGTCAGTGGTGTACCTTGATGGCGTCCTAGACGACGGCGCAATTGGCCTGCCCACGGTGTCAACTGGAGGGGGATCTCGGCGACAGTGGCGGGCGACGTATCCAGCGATACCATAGGCGAAACAGATGGGCCTAATATCTGGCGTCCTCCAAGCGTCTGCGCGACGGTAAAATGGAGTTGAAGATCTCGCGTAGGGATACGGTGCAGCAATTGGGGTTGTAGGCACGACATAGGGCGGCGTGGCAGGTTGAGCATACGGCATACGCTGTTGCGTAGGCCGAGAGGTGACGGCGGCGTACGTGAGAGGCGTAGTGACAGGTGGTTGCTGATGCATCGGTGGAAGGGCCTCAGTGACTTGGGTTCGAATGGCGTGTTGGAGGGCTGGTGTCAAAGCTTGCGCGGGCTCATGTGTCAGTGGCAGCAGTGACAGCTGGCGCGCTACCTC